AGAGACCCCTACGCGCAAGCGATTTATTGGAATAAAATAGAATCATACGTTAGTCCCGAAATGACCTATTTAGTGTCGAGTGCACGTAAACGATCCCTTAGCAATCTGTATGGCGTATGCCCGTCTTCATTTGCCCAGGTTAGGAGCAGAACAGTAGGATGTTAAACCCCATTTTATTTCATTGCATTTCTTTGTATTTAAATGTTACAGATATACTGGCGGTTTACCCGGAAGTAATGTAACTCCGAAACCGGAAGTAATAGTGCAGCGTCGCCAAGTCTATGACACTACCCGGCTCAAAATGCCCTTACAACCCAAATTCCAGTCACGGGACAGTGTCCTAGTTTAGCCGCTAACCCCGAACAGACAGACAAACGACAGCATCAAATATTGCAGAGATAATTTCGTATGCTCGCTCCCCCTAGCTTAAGTCGACTGGGCGAAGACGGGGTGTTAACAATATAATTTGTTTGAATCAAATAATATGTCTAGCTTTAGTATCTTGAAAGGGCTGGGATCGGTCGCCACGTGAGCCGTCAAAATGTTCAGTTATCGATAGATAAATATTAATAAAACAAGTTCGATTTCGTCCAGAGCAAATCCCGGTTGCGGTCATAAACGGTTGGTTCCGGTTACAAACTTGCTGTCCAGCTGTCCACACGCGAGCAGCAACTCGACTCCGCATGGTGCTATCGCACGGGGCAAGCAAAAAAAAACTATTAGTTTATTTAGTTTTATAGTTTTTAGACTGTAAAAGATGATGTCAATAAAGCTATTGATTTTTTATATAAATAAGTAAATGTTATATAAATGACTCTCAATTACACGACGTGGTGTGTTACCATGACAACCACCGCGTGCTGTGATGTGACATTCATTTTATAGGAATATTGTGATGAATGATAGCATGGAAGATTCTTGACAGTCAAGGCTATCATGTCAGTGTAATAGACGCGTGTGTCAAGAAGGCGTCTGGTAGAAACATCACCAGTTGGGGTCAGACCAACCAACAATATGACATGGGGTTTAACGTCCTACTTCTCTGCACCAAACGGCCTAATGAACACAATGGTGAGAAAAAATAGGGGCTTCCATTTCACATTGGTGATTTCAAAGAGTGAAATTAAAATTATTTTCTTTTTATCATTGTTTACTTCGCTTTACAGGCTGTCCTATTTAAATTGAATATTACTTTTTTTTAAATTTCATCTTGGTTGCTTTGTTTTATCATAATGTCTTCCTTTGTCGTATATCTCAATACTAGGCCTTATAGTTGGGTATGGGGCATGTACAATCAAGGGGTTGACCCCGGTCATCTCCAAACCTTTACACGCCACTGATAGTGTTGTTCTGGTTTTGAAGAAAGTCCAAAAGACAGACAATATTTGGGGCTTATATTAACATTATATGATAAGGTTTGCCATTAAAAGTTCATCCATCAACAATGGAAGTCTGACCACGTTTGACTTTTGAGGATATAACCATTTCGACGTGTGCTTTTAAATGCTTCGAATTATGATCGGCTCTCGTTATCAAGGGAGATAAAGCTGGTCTCAGACTAGCAATTATTTGCCCATTGACTTCAATGTTAAATGGCTGTAACATCACAGGCTGTAGCTTTTTTCTCAACATTCCGTTGGTTCCAATCTTTATAGGCACAATGGGGACAACATTTGGCAATCTCCTCATCATAATTTTGTAGGGGGTTGACCATTTAGATTTTTTGCTACACGGATTTGAAGTTGACTGGGGTGAAAATCTCACTTCCGACACAATGACTGCTCTGCAGAAAGACACTTTACACCCCCTATCCCTCCGCTGTAATATCATCAGTATTACCCAAAACTGCTACGAAATTGCAAATTTGATCCCTTTTCTCCAATTCTAGACCAAAAAGTCAACCCAAAAATGCAGGAAGAGGGGAGAAAAAAATTAAGGGAAAAATTGTCTATTTATAACTCGCACTACATTCGTGACAATACGACTTACGGTTCTTGGTAACATTAAAATTTCAAATTTTGCTCTGAAACGAATACCTAATTCGGGAATCTTCGGTTTTTTAACGTACATACAAATAACGATTGAATTTGACGTTTGTACGCATGCGCCCTAAAAGGATTAGAATTCGAGTGCCGTGACCAGTACCATAAGTTTTCTTTAAAAATACATTATGTAAGATTTAGATAAAGAACTAGCCATTCTTGCTATAATAGTTCGAAAGTAGATGATGTAAAATGAATAATTTGAAAATTGCATTCAAATTACTCTATTGCAAGCGAAGATATTAGCCTTTAGGTTTGACAGACGTGTGCAATAATTTCAACCACCGTACTGATTGATCGAAGCTAAGTCTCGGTCCTCCATATTTGATTAAATCAAAGTATCGCTGAACCATTCTAACCTATTTAATATCGGAGAAATCTGATGCCATCGAGAGTTGACTAAGGCGTGGATCAGTTAATTAATGTCTAATTAATACTTTAGAAAACATTTCAGGCCTAAAGAAAGACCTGCAATAGGCGGATTTAGCTCTTGCAAAATACATGTTGTTCAGTTAATTCCAGTCTCGTTTTTTTGTGCGTATTTAGAGCTAGCAACACCCTAACTTCTAAACTCACTAAGGCGGCAACTAACCACATGGTTTTACGGTTAAATAAAAGGAATTGGCATAGTCTTACGGTGTCGGTAAGTTGCCGCGAGAGTGAGTTTAAAAGATAGAAAAAGGGCGAAGCTACATGAATTGACTCTGAACCGAGAACCGTTACAATAATACGTCATTGGGTACAATCAACTAAATAAGAAATAAAATCGCCGAGTTCAAGCCAAAGTTTTAACCATGTTCGTAACCACGTATTTTTAAAAGTCCAACGTGTAAAGATATTTTTTCATGGTTTCATTGATAAATAAGTGAATGAACAGGGCCTAAAATAACGTGCCTTGGAGCACGAACGTGCTTCGAAATGAAAAATCCGTGCTTCGAAAATAAGAAAACCGTGCTCTGAAAGAAATGGCGTAAGGCTCTGAAAAAGTGTAAGGTAGCAATGCCTACTGACCCCTACTGAGTGTTTCCTCTTGTGGTGGTCACTTGCGAAGGTCAGATCAGATTAGTTGGCGCCCGATCGACTCCCTCGGATGAGTCGAGTAAGCGCCAGCCGCACCCACCTTTAGTCAGGTGTTCAGTAGGTTTGGTATCTGATCCGCTGCGTCCTTGACCGTCATTTCACTTTCACTTTATTTTTAACGTAATTTTCACTAATTTTCGGTATTACCTGTGATCTTTCTATTTAGCGCAGACATGCGGAGCTTCTGACTACACTTATTCGCAGTGCCGGAGAATTGCACCACGCGTAAACAAAGAAAAGCCATGACACAAACCGGCGGACAAGACACATAACATACAGGCATTTCAAATAATAAACAAAAGAAGTATCAAATCATGTGAATGAACCCGGGGGCCGACAAAAGTCCACCGTGCTCTAGCCTACCGCCCCCTGCCCCAGGGTGATTCGGGCTCCACTCAAAATGAAAACAAACTCACAACGACGGAGACAATCTGCAATGGCAATACATGAAAAGGGGGGCAGCATAGGTCACTTGGAGACTAACAATCTGAATAAAATACAGGGCCCTGTTTCACGAAATTTTAACTAAAGATAAAATCCAAATTTTAGTAGATACTTCAATTTTGATTGGCTAAGCACTAAAATCAATCTAATATAATCCAATCAAATTACTAAAATTTGGATTGTATCTTAGTTACAATTTCGTGAAACAGGCCCCAGATCTATATTTCGTTTCGGTTTTTTTTTATATATATATATACACTTTCGATGGCGACATGAAGATCTGACCGGTTGTAGTGGAAGGTCGCGTCAGGGATCATACGAGCCGTTTTGACCCTATGACGGCTGACATTTGATTAACCAATCAGCCTTGGTGTTTCGCCAAGAACTCGCTGTAACAGACCGTTTCAGTGGCTAATCCCTCACATCAACCAAAAAGCGGGCTATATAACAACACTTCCAGATTTCTAAATCTATGTGTTAAGGCCAGTTCAAATTTTGTCAAGGTCGCTGAGATGTAAGCATTGGGGCTAGGTCCAGGGTTAGGTTTAAGAAAATGGGGGAGAGGTTAAGTCTCCACATAAGTACTGACCTAGGATGATGAACATTTGGTTCGTGATATTTCCTAGTTTTATTAAAAATACATGCAATACATTAGATTGATATAAAAAAAGACTTGGAATCTGACCCAAATAATTATAGAGATATATATCATTATTAGATTGCACTGGGAAAGTCTACTCGTCTGTAAAAGAGTGGTCTGCAATGGACGAACAGTATTCGGGAGCCCAGGCGGATTATCGAACCGGTTATTCAACAGTAGATCATGTATTCACATTTCACGGATTGGCACAAGAATATTTAAGTAAACGAAAAAGCCGATATTATTGTTTATATGTTGACTTCTCAGAGGCCTTTTACTCATAGGCGTACGGGGAAATATTTGACTGGGGGGCGGTGGTGGTTGGTGCCCAAAAAATGTAGTTCGGTTCTTATGTTACATAATAAATTCGCTGTTAAATTGGACACATTCAAGAACTCAATATATTATATTTTTTATACAACTTTTACAAAGTACAATTGTGTGCCCAAATTTTCCCAGCGGTCTGACCTTTTAAAGGTCAGTCATCTTGGACAGAGATAAAAGACGGATGTCGCATTAGGTCTGTAAAACAGATTGCTATTGACAATAGCTTGAGTTAACGTAACAAACATAATAGTCAAGCCCATTGCTTTAGTCAGTAATCCAAACAAACCAACGCGCTAAAGATTTCATTTTCCAAATTGGTGTTTATATTACGCAGTGCTTGAGAATAACTGTATTTCGTAACTTGACGCGCAACCAGAAAACTCTAATGCGTACATGTATGAGTTACTCGGGTCGATTCGATCCGTGTCCATTAGTCTCGATATTTCCTGTTATTGCATCGACGATCATGGCTGCCATTTTGTGAAAGAATGTAACGTGTGGTTGGAATTTTAAGCTTTTTTGTGCCGTTGTTGGGAACTTTACCCCGTGTGGTATGTTAATTTGTATTGTCAATGGTCCTGTGAGAAACAGTGGCATTAATTAAACTCGCTATTTTTCTAAATGTAAGTTTATTTTCAATGTAGGTTATTACTATCGAATCAGACGAATGTCAACAAACAACATTCAGTCAGTGGCAGAAGATCTAAATGTCATATGCTAATTAGGCACAGATATCGCATCTATTATGCATTAAGCAATAAGACAGTCATTTAAAGATTGCTGACTCCAGGCTGTTCTCTCTAATTGTTCACGTCTTATAATTTTTTTTTTTTTTTTAAATAAAAATCTGATTTCTTTTCTGGTATGGATCACAGATTCTTATTTCTTTAAAATATCAAATTGTTCTAATTAAACATGTACATGCAACACATGTTCCAGTGGTATGTACTCGGTCGTCTCAAGGACATTAGATTAAATTATTACTTATGCCAGTCACTACATCATTGATTTCTGCAACCATGCAAAGTGCTTATAAATAATTATTTAAAGAGATTTTCGGGGAATTTTTGTTTTTGTTAATATTTAAATACATTGTTTGTTTTTATTTATTATAAATATTTAAATATATTATTTGGTTAAAATTTATGTATATAAAAATATTTAAAGGAGCTAAATCGCTAATATTTGGGACCTAAAAATTGACAAAAATGGGTCGCAATGCATATAATAATGTAATATGAACATATAAACTGATTTACATTCAATCGTTTCTGTTTTTACTGTAATTTCTAATCAGTTATGTTCGGCGAAATATGCCAGAAGTCTCATGTGAATCGCAATCTTTAGCAGCTGGTTTATCCAGTCTACACCAATGGTATTTATTGCGCATGCTCTCCAGATAAGAATATAGTGTCACCATTTGACATGACTTGTGGAATATGTCTAGCCCTGTTCTTTGAGTCCCTTGTTCCAAATGGCGCTGAAACACATTATGGTATACGATTCGTGTACCAATGGTAAAATGTTTATTTTGTCTTGAATATTGGATATCAGAAGCCAATCTTTTCCCTGTAAGATCACAAGACCAATGTTGATTTGAATTGACAAATCATTTGTGTTTTCAATGTCGAAGATTTTTGATGATATTGAGTTAGAGACTTAGCTACTTTAAATAGGCCTACATTATACAGAGCATGTTACATGTGGACTGAGACATAATGACTGATGATAAAATTTGTAGATTATCAAAAGGCTTCAAATTTCAAAAAATATTATTAGGGAACAGGAAATAGGTTTAAACTTAAACAATATATTGGATTATTGTGACATCTTTAATGATCAGTGCGATATATTTATTTATTGAAATTATTATCCAACCATAGTTAAACACAAAACTTATGCATTAATAAAACAGTGTTGAATGTAGATTTATCAAGTAAGGTAAGCTATGAATGTATGACCAATCTGATTTACACTATGTTTCAATAAAAGTCAATGATCTTTCAGAGAATATTATTGAAAAAAAGGCGATAGTCTAGGCCCTAGGGTCCAATGATATATTGTTTTATTGCGTTTTCTTAAAGTTCAAAGCTTTAATGTCAATAAAAAATTACATATTGCTTTGTTGTGGTATTTTTAATGTTCCAAACTTTATTGTCATTAAATTTAAGTATTGCGATATATTGATTTATTGAAATTATTAACTAGCCCTAACAGAAGGAAATATAATATCCATTTTGTGTTTTCATACACATTCCTTGAAATATAGTCGTATAATTATCTTCACCCCTATATGTATTTGTCCATCTATCATCCACAAATGCTTGTGGATACTCTATAGGCTAACATTTTCATCCGATTGACTTGAACTTTATGCTTAGTGTCAGGGCTGGGGTAATGATAATGGTAATGGAATGTAATCATTACATTTGTTAAGTAATGGTCATGTAATGAGTAATGGAAGATTTCAAAAGTAATGAGTAATGGAAATATAATTAATTACATTCCAAAAATCATGTAATGGTCAATTACATTTCAATTATTTTTCAATTACATTTTATGGCATATATAAATATTTTCAATATGATAAGCCTCAAATTTTATAGCACCAAAGAAGTAATTAAGTGTATCAGACACAATCCAATTCATTACAAAAAAAAAAGATATAAAGGCTAAATACCACTCTTGTTGTAACTGAATAATATGTCCCAATCTTTATTCTGGTCAACAAATTGTACTATTTTACAATATTCCAATTAATTGATGATACAAATTTCATCTTAACACACCTAATTTAAAAAAATGGAAAAATTCAACTAAATGATATGAAAAGCCTGACGTAAAGCTTTTCAAATGTGACTTGGATTTAAAAATATTTTTGAACCCTCTGGACAAGTAAAATAGGATTTAATGGATAATTTACACAACAGATAGGACACTAAGTTACTAACACATCTATTACTTAGCATAGAATAAGGCTATTTTTTATTTTTTGGAGCTGTCAAGCCAGCAAGAGTATTATTGTCCCTTTAAATCAGTTTTAAAAAATAAGAAGGCATTAAACATTTTCTATTATTACTTTTTATGTAGGAACCTTTTTTAGACATGTAACCTAAGAAGTGGATTTCTGATAAGATGTATATTATAATGTAATCAAAGATTAGTACTAATTTGCAGCCAATCACTCAGTCAATCAATCAATCAACCAGTCAGTTAGATTAAAAGACAATAAATAGTCATACTGCACTTTAATCTTAATTTCAAGGTAACAAGTGACAAATCAAACAATGACCTTCAAGTATCTCATCATTTTATGGTTACTTAAAACTAATATATTTTGTTTTAGAGTCATGCTGAATAATTTACCAGTTATTATACAATATATTATAGAAAAACTATTTGGACTGATTAAATTTTTTTTAAAATTACTTAAAAGAAAATACAGTTAATTAACTATAGTTTTGATTCATTTTTCAAGTCATACAGTGAAAATGTCAGTTTTTGTCACCACTGCCCGTCACTATAAAATTTGCCTTGATGTTATAATTGCTAGAAATAATAATTCATAAACAAATATCTATTAAGTGAATCAAGGATTATTTATGTTCAAGATACAAAGAAGCCAATTGAATTTCAACAATTTCCAATAATTATGATAATCAATCTAGTTAGTATTAGCAGCCCATTGATTTAAAGGCTCAATACCACTCTTGTTGTAACTGAATAATATGTCCCAATCTTTATTCTAGTCAACAAATTGTACTATTTTACAATATTCCAATTAATTGATGACACAAATTTCATCTTAACACAACTAATTTAAAAAATTGGGAAAATTCAACTAAATAATTTTAAAAGCCTAACGTAAACCTTTTCAAATATGACTTGGATTTAAAAATATTTTCGAACCCTCTGGACAAGTAAAATAGGATGTAATGGATAATTTACACAACAGGTAGGACACATAAACATCTAAAACTTAGAATACGCCTGTTATTTATTTTCTGGAGCTGTTAAGCCAGCAAGAGTGTTATTGTCCCTTTAAATTTATTTATAATGTTTCTAATCATGATTAGTTTTTAGTGGCTTGTACAGTGTACCTGGAAATAGACACCTGTCACTGTTCGGCACTAAGTTGAAAATGTCAGGTATTGTTTCATTAGTGCCTGACATTTTGTCAGGTACATGTAAAACCGTTATTTCCAGGCCTGGGCTTGTTAATGCTCCCATTACATGTAACTACGAAATTGTAATAGCCTTTATGGACTGACTTAACTGCTGTGGGCATTTGTTGAATGGTCTGGCAACCTATCTTTTACATTTCAGATTGAGGTCAATTTTGAAAAGCCCAGAGGAATGTGGTAAACATGATGTTGAAGTAAATATACTGAGTATTCAGAAAATGGCTTTAAAATCCATCTGGAAAAGGTATTGGACTTCTCCAGACACATATCGAGCTCCAGAGAAAGATGAGCATATGATCGTCTCAGAAACATTAATGTCAGAGCTTGATCATCACATCAAGGAAATGGAGCGGTTGTATCGTGAACAGGATCATGAAGAGGAGAAACGAAGAACAGGGGTCGATTATAGTTGGCTCGTCAGTGAACAGCCAAAAGGCTATGAAATTCCACAACTCGAAAGACTTGAGCTCGAAGAACTCTGTTACAAAGTGAGCTCAACTGAGTGTGGGAAAATAGTAGCATTGTTTCGAGATGCATTGCTACGTGAACCCGGCGTTAGAGACTTGACTCGAATCATGCGTGCTTGTATTGCGCAGGTCGTGGAACAAAGACCCAAGGAGGAAAGTTTAACAGAATGGTTAACAAGAAGGAGTCTGACAAGTTTAAAACTACGGCAAGTGACAAAGGTAGCTCCAAGTGCAGAGATGGAAGATATAGAAATGCAGAATCCACCTCGACGTGAAAATCGGGCCATGAGTATGCCAAATTTTTCTGTTAGCCTTTAGATTTGCCAAAAAAAGATTCCAGAATCCACAACCTCTTCAGAAAAAAAAGATTTATCATTAATCCAACGTGTTGACTGTTGGGTATTCATCATTGATACAACAGTGTTGAGTGTAGGTAATTCAAACCAAACACTGTGAGGAATATAACAGTGCTTGTATAAATATTTGAATATTCCCAATGAAATAGTTTATCAAGGTTATCTGAACAGATTTTAGGGTATTTGGTATTCCATGTCAATTCAAACTAATGGAATTTGATTTGTTTTTCTTTTTGTCCCTAATATAAACTATTGCATGAAATTAATTCAGTGAAGTCAGTCAATATTCAATAAATATTCAAATAATGACTTGAAATATACAACAGTATTAAAAATAATGACTTGAACTATTCAAAAACATTTAAAATAATGACTTAAAATGTTTAAATGCATTGAAATAATGACTTGAAATGTTTAAAAGCATTGAAATAATGACTTGAAATATACAAATAAATCATTCAAATAATGACTTGAAATATTCAAATCATTCAAATAATGACTTGAAATATTCAAATTGTAAATTGAACATTCAATGTGACAACTAGTATTTACATGTGCCAATACATGTACCGGTATAATATATGTAACTAAAATATATATTAAAGACACTTATATGGGTATACTACTTCTGAATTTATTAACATGCTACGTTTTGATTCCATTTCTTGAATGTGCTGTAAATCTCCCCCTTTTCATTTTGTAGTTATGGTTTCATATGGTTAATTAGCTTCTAATCTCTTACTATTATTAGTTTTATCTGCTAAATTCATTTTACATTCTTTCATCTTGTTAATTCTTTGTAAGTGTTATCAATATATGACTTCTTTGATCTTGTTAATTCTTTGTAACTAATGATTAATCTGTAAAATTGTTTCCAGTTATTATCTATATATTGCACCACATTTGTATTAATATCATTATTTGCTTGATAACGATATCTGTACGCGTATTCAAACGTAGCATGTTAATAAATTCAGAAGTAGTATATCCATATAAGTGTCTTTATTTTGTGAAATCTACTTCTATATGTCTTATAAGGATTATAATTTATATGTGTTTGTGTTGATTAGACTTTTAGAAGTGGTATCAGATGCTCTCATACACCACTTCTGACAGTCTAGTTTACATTAAAGGAGCCGTCTCAGATATATTGGTTTATTGCCTTTGAAAGAGACCTTATTCATGAAGCCAAAATATTTTAAGATGTATCTTTTTGAGTGGGTTAAAATCTTGGTGCAAATTTTAGCTCTTAGACCAATGAAAAGGCTGCATTCTTCAATATTTGTATTTAAGTTTTTGTTGAATAAGGTTCCTGTATCCTAATCTTGTGCAACTATCTGAAGCTCAAGAACAACAAACTTTCGATGTCCATGTAATGTTGATAACACATGTCACAATTATATGGAATACAAGTTACTTAAAAGATTTATTTCAGCGATGTTTCATCGTTAAGTAACTTGTATTCCATATAATTGTGACCTGTGTTATTCTCATTCAGTTACTAAATGCCACTTAAAGTGAGAATTTCATATTTTCTAAGAAAGTCAAAACATAATTATTTCTATGTCTTTTGCTCAATAGGTTGTCAACTCACTATTATATGATCATAGGTACCATTCTCACACTTAAAAATCATTCACCCCAGAAATAAAGTAATTGAACTGGAATTAAACAGGGTCACAATTTTATGGAATACAATTACTGTTACTACTGATAAAGACTGGATAATACTAGACCAAACATCTGTTAGTAATAAACAAGAATTATATATTCCATAGAATTGTATTTTGTGTAATTCTTAACTGATTCTAGTGTCTGATTAAAAAAAAAATAGAAACTAGAGTTGTTTCCCTTGCAATATCTGTTTTGGGGATATTTTCCCAGGTCTGGGGTCTTATTCTTGGAAATTTAATCTAAAATATTTTAATGAAATAAAATGGGGGTTTAACATCCTACTGTTTTGCTCCGACTTGCCTAATGAAGACGCTATACAGTGTGCTAAAAGGGAAATTTCACCAAGGGATCTTTTACGTGCACGGCAATGTGTGCACAGACCTTGTGTTTTGCCCTGCATCCCTGACAAGAGTGAACAACGCCAGAAAAACCCAATGAACTTTCTCAGCCAATGCAGGATCGAACACGGGACCTTCAGGTTAGCAAACGGAATAATGCATCCTTTTAATTGGTTGAAGTTTAAAATCATAGCACAAATTTTAGCTCTTAGCCAGTGATAAGGCTGAACTCTTATAGTACTTTAGTTTTTATGAATAAGGCTCAAGGTCGTATCAATTTGAATTTTTGTTCAAAAACATATTACATCAAATCAACCCAATTTGAAATCTTACCTTGATCTAAATCAAAAGGTATCGCTTTCTCTGTATGAAGGGGACTTAAATTTTCTAATTGTCATTTTTGTCATTTGAGGGATTTTTAATCCCTTGCTGCCATGTACACATTGGCGTGCACGTAAACGATCCCTTTGCAGTGGAAATTCGATATAAGAGTGGACTGTAGTGCCGCTGTCTGGGCAAAATATCCTTCATAGCACACTGTATGGCATATGCCCGTCTTCATTAGCCCAGTCGGAGCAGAAAAGTAGGACGTTAAACCCCATTTCATTTCATTGTTAATCCCTTGCAAACTACTATATTGTAAAAGTTGAATCTCTAAATGAAATATCAGTCCAAAATGATTTAATTACATTAGTCACCATAAGCCAGTGTTGTTGCATTCTGCATACAGAGATCCATCTACTTCATTCCTCGAGAATAGATCTCTGCCCTAAATGACTGCCATATCCAAAAGTCAAAGTAGACTAAATATACTTTTTCAATTTAATTAGATGGAAGGAGAATAAATACTCAACAAAATTCTTAAAATATACTTAGTGTTTTCGACTAAAATCGTCGATTTAGGACTTAAAATGTCTGTCAACTAGGTTAGTGTATGTTCTCAAGTGGAGCTAACTGTAGATAGACAGTCTATGTTTAGTATGATGATTTTGTTGAAAACATTTGATAGGTCTCTTTTATAATCCAACTAAATGTAAGCATTCAAGAAAAATTAGATTTTGTCTGGCACTGACCCCCCCCCCCCCCCATAAGCTCACAAAGCATTCTCAGACTTAAAATAAGAATTTACTCAAAATTATTCACCTTATGTTAACTAAAATATAGCCCTTTATAAAACTTTGTGCAAAGTTTTGTGTTTCTCGATGAAAGATATTTCTCATAAACAGTGATTGAAAGTTAAGCAAATTCTGAACTTAAGTCTGAGATTGTTTTGTGAACTCGGGGCCAGAAAAGGGCAAATGAAGAACAGCAACTTTAATTTTAGATACCTGTATATACCGGTATATGTCAAGAGAAAAATTCTTCTCTCAAACTGTGTAAATTATATAAATAAATCTTTTCTACGTATATTTGTAGATTCTTCATCATTTAATATCTTCTATTACATTACAAGGCGACCATTTTCGTATTTTTGCTCAATTGGGATTTTTTTACAAACTAATAGTAACTTACTAATACTTATGTTTATGCCTTTTACTCTGTTGTTATGTCAAAAAAGCCTTTTTATATAAAACTGAGGCCAATTTCTCAAAATGGCAGAAATAACTATAATTCATCCTTCAATTAATCCCACTTATTATTAAAGACAGTTGAGATTATTAATAATTATAGTCTTTTTACAGTCGGCCGAATTGTTAGCACGTGCGCACTGTATCATAAAGCCTGTCATTGAGTCAACTGGCGTGGTTTCGAATCCCCGGTTGTACGTGACAAGGAGTAGGGTCGCCTGTCCAACCTCGTGGGTTTTCTCCGGGTCCTCTGGTTTCCTCCCACTGCTAAAGACCCCTACGCGCAAGCGATTTATTGGAATAAAGAATTTTAAAAAACATAGGTTAGTCCCGAAATGACCTAGTTTGTGTCAAGTGGATGTTAAACCCCATTTCTCTCTCTCTCTCTCTCTCTCTCTCTCTTATTACAGTCAATATTTTAGAATTTCTAGTTGGATTTACCATATCTTGATGTCTGATTTGACATATTTGTGGGAGGATTTTAGCCAACAGAGCGGACGTGTCGGGCATATAAGTTCAAAAACAGAATCATTGGTTGGAATCCATTATTGTGAATTTAAGAAAACAGAATTTCTTCATTTTTTAAGAAATGGGCCTCAGTATTTCTATGTTTTTGGGTTTTTTTTTTTATTTTAAAAAAAAATATCTAGTGCCTCTTCAGCAGTTGCCAAAATAATTATATTTAGTTTAGATTTCCTATTAGTTTAGTTTGGTTGGGTAGCCAATCATAAGATCTGTCATAGAGTCAAGTGTTAGAGTTTCGATCTCAAGCTTTAAGTGACAAAGGGTAGGGTTGTCTGCCTACCCTTGTGGGTTTTCTCCGGATCCTCCATTTTTCTCCCACTGCTAAAGACCCCTGCGGACAATCTTTATTTTTAATAAAGATGTTGTGTGGATGTTAAACCCCATTTTGCTCTATATTAGTTTTGTATGAGAGACACTTTGCTTTTTCCTGACTTGTAGATATTTTATTATTTCTATGTATTTGTTAAACTGTGAAATGTATCTAGAATTTGTAATACTTGTTGTTAGCATTAATTAAGTATGGTTTAATGGTCAACATCGAGACATTAAGTAATATATTGATACTGCATGAGACGTTAGCCGAGTGTCGTTTCAATATATTACACAATGTCTTTAGCTTGAGACCATTAAACAACTTAAAATACAGGCACATGCTTTTCAATGAAATACGTCACACAAGTCCAATATATACTGAGCGCCATGGAAAACGCATCACTTAGGTTTTCGTATAACAAAATGATCCTGTAAACATATCTTATTTATTTTACTTCTTATTGTGAACAATATTCAAATGGGAACACATCAATAACAACACATTTGTACACTTATGGATGTTTAATCTGTAATCAAGGGAACAAAGTCAGAGGGGTCAAAACCAAAAGTATGACACAGATGTCAGTAGCGTGTGTGTCCTCCACGGGCCATCATCACGGTAGGCTACAGCATTAACTCGACCCCTGCAAATGTGTAGGGCGGTCCGGTGATGAAATTTGAAGCCCCCCCCCCCCACACCATTACATTTCCCCCACCCCATCATCGATTCCTTTCGAAGACACAGCAGTCTGCAAGACGTCTCCACACACGTTGACGGCCATCAGCGTGATAAAGATGAAAGCGACTGTCATCACTGAAGAGCACACTTTGCCAGTCTACTCTTCTCCATGTCTGGTGTCCTTGAGCCCATATCAAACGCCGCTGAC